TTAATTTATATTACAATGCTGGTAAAATACATTTCTTGATGATGGGTATGGAGTGCAAATGAACTCATTGTGTATCCTATACTCACAGGATGAGTATAGGGTACACAATGAACTACCACTCACATGATGGGTATGGGTTGCATAAGAAGCTATCACGCAGAGGATGAGTATGGAGAGCAAAGTAAACAAAGATTCACACGATGAGAAAGGGTTGCACAATATCCTATGACTCACAGGATGAGGTACAATAAACTACAGGTCACAGGATACGTATGGGTTGCACAATAAATTGCCACACAGAGGATGAGTATGGGGGTGCACAAACTACTGGTAACAGGATGAGTATGGGTTGCACAATAAATTACCACACAGAGGATGAGTATGGAGTGCACGTAAATAAAGACTCACAGGATGAGTATGGGGTGCACAATAAATTACCACACAGAGGATGAATATGGGGTTATCTTGAGGTTATCTTGAGATGATTTCAGGGCTTTTTAAGTGTCCCCGCGGCCCGGTCCTCGACCAGGCCTCCACCCCCCAGAAAGCAGCCCGTGACAGCTGACTAACACCCAGGTACCTAATTTACTGCTAGGTAACAGGGGCATAGGGTGAAAGAAACTCTGCCCATTGTTTCTCGCCGGAGGCTGGGATCGAACCCAGGACCACAGGATCACAAGTCCCGCGTGCTGTCCGCTCGGCCGACCGGCTCCCCCTTGCACATAAATAAAGACTCACAGGATAAGTATGGGGTGCACAATAAATTACCACACAGAGGATGAGTATGGGGTGCACGTAAATAAAGACTCATAGGATGAGTATGGGGTACACAAACTACTACTCACAGGACGAGTATGATATTCGTGCTCTATATCAGGGTAACTAAAATACACTTGTTTCCAAAATAAACACTTTAATGACAAATATCTGCAAATATATTTTATGTTTACAATTTTCTGATGAAATAGAACATATCATATATATATATAGGGGGTCAAACGTATCTCTCTGAATTACATAATTTTTTGGAATTGTGAAGCCTGTATTGCCCGCCTGGCAGGTGTTTATGCTGACATATAGACCTTTAATGTTACTTTGCATATATGCAAATGAATTACACAATTGATTGGCTTGTTTGCAGGCCTTCACACTCCCTGAGGTAGCCATCACGTAACTTTAAAAAAGCATATATCTTCACTTTCACTTCAGTAATATTTATGCTAAAGTATTAACATGCAGCTTATATTTCTATCTTTATTATGACATGGAAAACTTCGTTTATTACAATGTCTAGATTAAATTAACATTGATCTTCGAAAGATCATAGTTCCCATCGATAGGGAAAGCGTCGGCCAAGAAACCTTGTTTAAAATATGAATGTTCTTCCTCTCTAATAAGATATAATCTCTGTGATGGATTCACAAAAACTATTTTATCTCTGCCTTTCTGATAACATATACAAATGTAAGTTTTATTTGTGAATCTCTATTAATTAAGCAATATATCTTGCACCAAGTGAAGCCTATATCTTGCACCAAGTGAAGCAGTGAAGCCACTATATAGTAAGCTTCAGTGTTCAATGAACGAAAAGGACACGAGTAGTTTAAGTAGTGAACACAAACGAATACCGTTAGTATCTATATAACAAAATTATTGTCCTGTGGAATTGATTTAACTTCCAGACACATTATTTTGAATAAATATTAAATGTTTTGTAGCTATTTATGAAAGATATTACAAATACCCATTCTACTTGTTAATATCATTAATTAAATTTGCGACAATTTGAGCAAAGAAGTGCGACGACTGGATCACTATGGCGTCACCTGCTACATATTTACTTCTAATTTGGATATGAAATTACATTATTTCAGCGTAAAAATAGGTTTGATCAAGTTCTACGTGCAGCACCAACATTACAGTAAGTAAATATACCATATTTCTTCATTACTTACGTAATGTTAGGAGGATTTGGGTACATTTGGGTAATTCTACGGACCAATCTGTCCAGGGTCGGAGCTCGGCTATTATAAAAGTACACGTATCTTCGCTTTGAATTTAAATATGCCCATAGTAAGGCATTTAAAATGAAGCTTATATTTTCATCTTTCTTGCGACATATAAAATTCTTACGTTTATTAAGGGGTTGTCTAGATGGAAATTGAAAGTTGTTGTAGGGCATTGAAAATTTATTATCCTGATACATGTGAAAGGTGCTGCAACTGGGCCAAGTTTCAGCATCGCAGCCTAAATAGAGGGAGAAAAAAAATAAAAACGTTTTTTTTAGACAATTTTTCAACAATGTTCAAATCGTTTCACAGCCCACAATTATATATATATAAATATATATATATATATATATATATATATATATATATATATATATATATATATATATATATATATATATATATATATATATATATATATATGCAGAATAACCACATATGAAAAATAGAAAATGCTTAACGCGTTTTCGGCTAATTCGCCTTCATCAGAGCAAAGTAGAATGAAGATAAGTTTGCTGATCAGACCTTTATATCCGCCTGGGCAGATCACCTGACCACCAAAAATAAGTGGAGGAAAGGAATTATAAGAAAGAAGGTAACTGCAGAAGGCCTATTGGCCCATACAAGGCAGCTCCTTTTAATATCTCCAAGTGCCATACGTGTTTAAATGATTGCTATATTGTTTTGACGTGCTATATTGAGGCTTAAATAGGGATCCAACTTGTACATACCGGGGCTCACATTAAGGCTGTTGTTACAATGTTTGATCAGAGCAGACTCGATCACGTTTCGTTCAACAAAATCCTTACTTTTAACAATACATTTTGCCCCTGTGAAGTCGATAGAATGAATCATTCTATCCAACTTGTACATACCGGGGCTCACATTAAGGCTGTTGTTACAATGTTTGATCAGAGCAGACTCGATCACGTTTCGTTCAACAAAATCCTTACTTTTAACAATACATTTTGCCCCTGTGAAGTCGATAGAATGAATCATTCTATCGACTTCACAGGGGCAAAATGTATTGTTAAAAGTAAGGATTTTGTTGAACGAAACGTGATCGAGTCTGCTCTGATCAAACATTGTAACAACAGCCTTAATGTGAGCCCCGGTATGTACAAGTTGGATCCCTATTTAAGCCTCAATATAGCACGTCAAAACAATATAGCAATCATTTAAACACGTATGGCACTTGGAGATATTAAAAGGAGCTGCCTTGTATGGGCCAATAGGCCTTCTGCAGTTACCTTCTTTCTTATAATTCCTTTCCTCCACTTATTTTTGGTGGTCAGGTGATCTGCCCAGGCGGATATAAAGGTCTGATCAGCAAACTTATCTTCATTCTACTTTGCTCTGATGAAGGCGAATTAGCCGAAAACGCGTTAAGCATTTTCTATTTTTCATATGTGGTTATTCTGCATACTTGGATCAGTGTTTTTGTGATCATTGTTGCATATATATATATATATATATATATATATATATATATATATATATATATATATATATATATATATATATATATATATATATATATATATATATATATGGTCAGCTCCCTCAGGGGCCTTTCTTGGTTTCGTTGTGCGTCTCGTTGGTCTCTGCATATCCTTGTCCTTTTTGTTCTGGAGTAGCAGGTGGAACGTCTGGAGTAGCAGGTGGAACGTCTGGAGTAGCAGGTGGAACGTTTGGAGTAGTAGGTGGAATGTCTGGAGTAGCAGGTGGAAGACCTGGAGTAGCAGGTGGAAGACCTGGAGTAGCAGGTGGAACATCTGGAGTAGCAGGTGGAACATCTGGAGTAGCAGGTGCAAGACCTGGAGTAGAGGGTGGAGAATGTGCGGTGGCAGAGGGTGGGATTGTGGGGGGGGGGGGGGGTAGCGGGCTGCGACAACTTCCTCACACTCGTGGCTGAGAGGCCTCCTCGATCTTCACTCGTCAAAGTGCATAATCCACGGCTTCTAGTCAGCTCGCACCTTCTACGGGCAGCTAGCATGCTTTTAGCTTTCATAGTTTTCCTCGTCTTCGTTTTGTACGTCATTTTGCAGTAAAAATAGCACAAATACTGATAATTCTGGGAGATATTGTGAGCTCGCGTCCACGATCGGGGGGCCTCGTAGCCTGGTGGATAGCGCGCAGGACTCTTAATTCTGTGGCGCGGGTTCGATTCCCGCACGAGGCAGAAACAAATGGGCAAAAGTTTCTTTCACCCTGAATGCCCCTGTTACCTAGCAGTAAATAGGTACCTGGGTGTTAGTCAGCTGTCACGGGCTGCTTCCTGGGGGTGGGGGCCTGGTCGAGGACCAGGCCGCGGGGACACTAAAAAGCCCCGAAATCATCTCAAGATAACCTCAAGATAGATCCACCAGCTGAGGGACACAAAGAGTGACTGACTGTTAGCCAGCAATCCCACCCCCTCTCTCACACGAGACTGTTGCCAATGAGCGAGTTTATATTTGTTTTATGCATAACACGTTATTTTCAACGCTATTACGAAATATTAGACTTCTACAACGTAAGACGCAATACCCCACGGTGCACCCAGGCCGCGAGAACCGGAATGGGGAAACTTGCAGAGGGAAATTTGACTCTAATTACGTTATTTTTCAAGATAACATAAAACGGTTTGCACCACAGTGTTGCCAGAACGTTGTAGTATTTTTCAGAATTTTTCGTAACTTTTCAAAATTTTTCGGATTTGAATCTAGATGACCCCTGATGGAATCTGCGTGAAATAGGCATTGTTCTGATATGAATGCTGCGGGTTTCGAGTTCGGTGAATGATGAAAATGCCACTTTTATACAAGTACAAATATCTTTGGTTTTACTTAAAATATTTGTCAGGTAGAGGTTTTACATATACATCGCACTTCTGTCTTTCTTCTGACTAATAAATAATTTTGGTTTATTAATAAGTTATCAAGATGTTTTCAACAATATTCTTTTGGATTTCGTCTACTCCAACATGGGTGACCATTTTGAAAACGCGACACATGGATTAACCCATCCCATAGTTGGGTCAGTTTCCATAATGGTTCGGAACAATTAGACGGACTCCTCATGAGGTTTGTGACCCGAGTGCACTAACATGTGACGCTTCATATTTGCAAGATGACTAAATCTCCTCCCACACTCTGGACACTCATGAGGTTTGTAACCTGAGTGTACCAACATGTGACGCTTCATACTTCCAAGATGACTGAATCTCCTCCCACACTTTGGACACTCATGAGGTTTATGACCCGAGTGCACCAACATGTGATGCTTCATATATCCAAGACTGAATCTCCTCCCACACTCTGGATACTCATGAGGTTTATGACCCGAATGCACTACCATGTGATGCTTCATACTTCCAAGATGACTGAATCTCCTCCCACACTCTGGACACTCATGAAGTTCATGACCTGAATGAACTAACAAATGACCTATTAGAGTTTTACGTTCTTTATATTTTTTGCCACACTCAGCACATTCAAAAGTTTTTTTATCCATATGCACTATCCTGTGTGTCTTCATATTTCCAAGGTGACTGAATCTCTTCCCACACTCTGGACACTCATGAGGTTTGTCACCTGAATGCACTAGTATGTGATATATTATATCCTTACGTCTTTTCATTTTTTTGCCACAGTCAGCACATTCAAAAGGTTTTTTATCCGTATGCACTATCCTGTGTTTCTTCATATTTCCAAGGTGACTGAATCTCTTCCCACACTCTGGACACTCATGAGGTTTGTCACCTGAATGCACTAATATGTGATGTATTATATTATCACGTCTTTTAAATTTTTTGCCACACTCAGCACATTCAAAAGGTTTTTTATCCGTATGCACTATCCTGTGTTTCTTCATATTTCCAAGGTGACTGAATCTCTTCCCACACTCTGGACAATCATAAGGTTTTGTCACTTTGGATTAGGGCATGGCTATACCAAAGGAAACAGAGAGTTAGTATAAATGGAATCAAGTCAGAGTGGGAAAATGTGTAAGTGGAGTGCCTCAAGGCTCTGTCCTCGGACCTCTGTTGTTTATAATATATATAATGATTTAGATTCAGGTTTGAGTAGCAACATTTGCAATTTGCCGATGATACGAAAATCGGTAGGGAAATTAATTCGGAGGAGGACTCACTATCACTTCAAGTTGATCTAGATAGGGTTTTGAAATGGTCAAAGGATTGGCAGATGCAGTTTAATGCTGATAAATGTAAAGTTCTGAGGTTAGGTAATGATGATAGAGTACAAGATACGAGCTAGATGGTGTTGTGATTGCGAAGTCGGATTGCGAAAGGGATCTGGGAGTTATGATTAGTAAGAATTTAAAACAAAAGGATCAATGCATAAATGTTCGTAATAAGGCAAATCGGGACACTTGGATTTATTAATCGCAGCGTTAGTAACAAGACACCTGGTGTGGTTCTCAAGCTATATCTTGCTCTAGTTAGGCCCCATTTAGATTATGCAGTTCAGTTTTGGTCGCCATATTATAGAATGGATATAAATTCACTTGAACGTGTCCAGCGTAGGATGACTAAGTTAATTCCCCAAATTAGAAATCTTTCATATGAAGAAAGATTAACAAAGCTTAAGTTGCATTCACTGGAAAGGCGAAGAGTTAGGGGTGAC